TGTTATGGAAACATGGGACTAGTTCGGGAAACATTGGTGATCAGACAGATTTAACGTGCACCAGTCACCATTTAATAATTTCTTCGGTAGGCGGCGATCCAACTCACGATCTTTGAACATGGGCCGAACGCCCTACCGACCAAGCTACCCCTGCCCCCATATGCTTCGTTGTAAATCAGTTAAGCTAAGAGCTAAGGTCGTATGTCAAAAACTAGTGTTCAAATGTATTCCTTATAGAAGTTATTTAAGGTGCCCTAGTAATCTTTAGTCCACCAACATCCTGAGCCACACAGCAAGAGTGACGCTTAACTTCAAATTTTGCCCAAACTATATATTAGAAAAAAACTTTCTAGTAGAACCGTAAAAATTCCATTTTGTGCGAGAGTATTAAATACTGGAATTTTTCTAATCCCGATCCTTAATCTGCAAATTAAAACCACACTAAAAACAAAAATTTTCAACCAAAAATTAATTTATTTTCAATATAAAATACACAGCACAGATACGATTTTTACAATTTCTTTTAATATAGTCTAGCATTACAAAAAACTAAAAATCTATAACCAAATACTTATGATATATAGTATAAATATCAGAGTAAAATTTCTTTCAATTACTGTAAAAAGTTTCAAACACTAGTTCAATACAATTATACAATATAAACATTTACCACAAATTTGTTTCGTTAAACATTTACTACTAATTTGTCCCGGAAAAAATTTAGTATTAAAAATGACAACGTTTTCATTTCGTTTATGATAAATTTTCCACATTATTAAAAGCAGCTGAGTAATAAATAGTATAAATACTGATATTGCAACTAAATCTGATAATTTTTAAATTAAATTTTCAGATCTTTGTGAAAGGACTGTTTTGTTTACTAGAGTTTTACAGCATGTTATAAAAAAAACTAAATTCAGAAATTTTACTAGCAGAGGGGAAGGAATTTCCAAGCAGTTCAAGTTATTATTAAATTTTAAGCCATTAGAATTTAATTTTGATTAGTATAAACTAAACTTTGAAAAAGAGATTTCTTCGATTCATCCAAAGTGAAAATCCTCCTTTCCAAAATGATAGATTCAGTTTCATTAAATTTTAAATCCAAATAAAACTTAGTCTTCTTGCTAATGTAACTAACAGTGTTTAATGTGAATTTGTTCTGTTACTAATTCTATTAAAATAGAAATGTTCGCAATCTAGATATATAAATAAAACCAACTCTGCGATTATGACAACACTTTAAAATTAAGTAAAGTGTCAGAAACTCAGAAAAATTTTACATTTTGGTTGCTGATTATTCAAACTTTGGCATCTTTAATATTTCTTTAAAAATATGCAAAACTGATTTGGATTAATCATAGTAATATACTAAAGCAATATAGTTCTATATTCAAATTTATACTTTATAGTTTGGTATAAGTTATGACAGGATTTTTACGCCAATAATTTTCTTATATGCGTATTAGATTAATTTTAGTGTCAAATGCTCACTGATTAATGAGTTTCAAAAATAAAAATACATAAATTTCTTATCAAACACACCAGAGTAGCATCAATAAACATCAATGACATTTACATTATGAAAAATTATAATTTATGAATTCCGTTAGATACATATTTTATAATAAGAGTTTCATTTTATGCCATACACATAAATTACACATTCAATATCTGAGACAATACTGATTACATAAAGCCTAAAAAGCAGTGGAATATACAGTTTAAGTCTATGTTAATTTAGCTGATACAAAATAATTAGGAAAAACTCAAAGTTTAAAATTTGAATAATTGTCGTAAAGTAGAATTTAATTAAAAATAGTATTAAAAGTACATGAAATAAAATGTGCACTTTACAAGTTAATGCACGGCATAGTCTTCTCTTGTTTGTAAAAAAAAATTCTGGTTTACCAAACACAATTTAAAAATATGCTGATCCAAAAATATTAAAATTAATTGACCTAAAAATAAAAAATTATCTACTAATAAATCGTTAATTTAAAGAAATTTTCTAAGAGCTTAGAATTTTGAACAAACAAAACTGTTAAATGCAATTTAATGAAACCCACTCAGATCGGTAACTGAATTTGTTTTCACAAGATTTTAATAAAAGTACGAGTTAAAAGTTTTCACAGACACTTTGCTAAAATTTAAAAATCTACAGGAAAGTTTTACCATTTTTAGGCAGATTATAAGGTAATATAGAGAAAGTACGATAACTTTAATATTTACGACGCACTTTTAGCATACAAATCTTAGTTTATCGTTATCTCGAGTCGTTTAAAACCAATTTTCATACAACTTAAGAATGAAAATTTAGTTAATTTTGAATACTAAGCATTTTTTTTTAATCCAGCTCTCACTTCCTTAATTTCTGAGTTACAATATATAACTTTGACGTCTTAATTTTCTTAACAAAAAGAGAGTTCTAAATTAAAGTATAACTGCTGAGAGTTTTTACGCACGGCAACGTACACTAGGGAATCTGAAACTTTCGAAACTGCTGAACGAGTGTGGAGGTCGAAGAGGGCCGTCTATCGCTACCATTTCAAACTCCATTTCAACAAAAAACCATTTCAACAAAAATTTCGAAAATTTCCGTCCTACACAAGTTTTTTTTTTTGTTAGCGCTATATCAATCTCCAAATCAAACAGATAGATTTCGTAGAATTAATAATAATTAAATTAATAGTGTTTAGAAGTCTACGAATCTCAATAAAGTTTAAAACTATTTGATTTTAGTAGCGCAGAAATTTTTTGTTACTCTTTTTAAAAATGTCGAATTGCGATTGTTGATTTGAGTAATGCAACATTGATTAATTTATTCGGTATTCCTGCTACCAAATTAACAGTTAATATTTTGCGTATGATACTACTTTCGCTCTAACCCGTTACATAATATGCTGGCTCATAATAAATTTGTTCAGTCTTAGAAATTTCGAACTTCAATAAAAGCATTTTCGTAACTTTTTAATATTGAAAACTTAGCAATTAGTTTTATTACAAATCTCCTTATTTTTAAAAAAAAAGATACTTTTAAAAGACAAGATGCAATTTTTATTAATTCCTCGATTGCTAACTATGATTTAAGTCTTTGACTGGATTCTTTCTGCATATAGTTGAATAGTTAAAATCTGTGCATATTGCATGAAAATACGGTTTCGGCCGTGAGGAGCAGACGATTAAGAAAATACTGTACTGACATTTTGTTCTTTACATTTTGTTTTTCTTTCCTATTAAGAATTTTAAAGATTTTTAGTGAAAATTGCGAATTAGAGTTAAAATTAACTATTGGAACTTTAAGATGGAACTGCATTTTTATCTTAAAACTTTAAGATGTTTTAACCGCCTTAAATACTATAAATATTACATCAGGCAAGGTATGACGAAGGTACAATTTGAAAAAAAAATCGAACAATTTGGAAAGGTACAAAAGGCAGTACCGCACCTTTTACGGTAATTTGTAAACTTTAAGCATTTGTTTCTTTATAGATATGCATTTCATTTAATTATATTAAAAAATTACGATTTCTTAACAAACTTTAAAAAGATTTTAAGAACCGCTTAGTACTTTATGAAGATATTCATGATTTTGTTTTCGCTAAGAAAAATACTGTTCTACATACCAATATTTACTTTAAAAAGAAAAACTTAAAATTTAATCAAAACTGAAATTTTAGTAAACCAAATCAAAATTTTCGAAAAATTTAATTCTATAATTTTTTGCGAAATTTTCTCTACTACAATTTTCTCCACAATTTTAAATTTTTTTTTTACTCAATTCTGCATAATGTTTGGTGCTTTATAGGAATTTAAGGAAACTAATTCCACCACTGAAGCAACAAGTTAGAGTTAGATGTTAAGATAGGTTAAGTGATTAGTAAATTAGGAATTATTTTGTTACTTCAGCAGCAAAATTAAGTTACATTAAACGTCCTAAAAATTATGACAATTTGCTAAACAAAAAATTTGGAATTTTATTTGTCTTTAAATATAAAACGCTAAAAAAAATCTCCATCATAAAAAATTTGTTAACTTGTTGAAATTCCCCTAACACGTTAATGTCTACAACTTTTTTAAAATTATCCGGATAATATATAGAGACTTTTAAATATTAAAGTAACTGCTTGTTTTTACATGAATTTTTTAAATTTTATATTCGGCAATAACTACATAATTCGTATAAACCTTGACATGAGAGTTCGTATATTAAATATTTTAACTGCAAGTCAAAGTATGTAGAACAGTAAAAATATGCTAAATTAAAAATTATATATTTTTCAAATGTATTTAAAGAATTAAATTAAATTTATTAAATTACTGAATTTGGATTTGAAGTAATATCGCACATTATAATTTGTGTGTGTTCACCGCCTTTTTTAAGTTTATTTCAGTCTAGAGCTCTTGATTCAAAGTTATGAATCCGTGAAAAGTGCAGAGGAGGATATCTTGAAATTTTATTTCTCACAATTTTGGTGTATCGATTTTTGTGTGGATCCGTTTAAGTTTCGTTAACGGGATTTTATTTGCAAAACTTAATACACCAATAAAGAAGAAATGAGACATGTCTGCGAATTTGTTTAGAGATTTTATTCTTGAATGTTCCAGCATGAATACTAAAGGTTAATTTAAATAGTTTGTGAACTACTATAAAACAAAGTTTATAAATTATGCAATTAGAAACTGCAATAACTATTTAATTTAAGAGTTTTTGTATTTAGTAACTTTTTCGAAGTTTAAATGTCAGGTTTTTGTTAAAACTAAATTGTGCCAAAATTTACCCTCCAAATAAATATAAATTTACAAAATTTAAGCTTAGATCATTCTGAAGCACACTAGCATTGTAGTACCGAAACTATAGTACGACCTTTTCTACACACTTTTATTTACGATTTATTCACTTTAGTTCACATTGTATAAAGCAAATTGTATTCTTTTTGGTAATTATCATAAAATTTAGTTTATTTTGAATACTGAACATTGTTTTTTTATCCAGCTCTCCCTTCAATTTCTAAGTTACAATATCTCACTTTGAAGACTTAAATTTCTAAACATAAAGAACGTTCTAAATTAAAGTACGTCAGAGCGGAGAGTTTTTACGTACAGAAACGTACAAGAGGGGAAGAGGGAGCAGAACTGCCGCCTACCGCTACCAATTCGAACTCCACACTTGCTCAGAAAATTCTAAATTTTCCGTCCTACACAAGCTTTTATGTTAGCGCTATATCAATTAACTTAATTTTAAAGAAATTAAAATTTCGGTCAATTTGTTGTATTTTAAAAAATATAACTCATACCTTTATTAAAAAAGCATTGTCTACCTATTCTAGTAGTACACAATTTCAACTTAACATCTCAGGCACACAGATTTCCAGAACAGGTAGTCTTAAAACATTACTACAGAATAAAACGACATAAAATTCTATCATTCGTCAACTGATCTCATGCTGGGATTGAGCTACGAAACTGGAATAGAAAAAGAGCAGTAATTTCCTAAATATAGCCTAGCGGCCTTAATTCGATCAAATTTTCAATGTTTAAAGAGAGCAGGCACATTTTAAAAATCAATTTAACTGTTATGAAATTTTATATAACCAGAGCTTATTCTACTTCCCATTACATAATATACTAGCTCATAATAACTTTGTTCAGCCTTTTAGAAATTTTGAAAACTTTGGGAAAACTTTAATAAAAGCATTTTCATAGCTTTTCATATTAAAACGCAGCAATCTGTTTTAATACAAATCCTTATTTTTTTAAAAAAATTTATAGAGATTTAAGACAGAAGACAGTATAATTCATTGATTGCTAATAATGCTTTAAATTTTAGACTGGATTCTTTCTGCAGAGTTGAAAATAGTAAAAATCTGTATATTAGAGGAAAATATGGTATCGGACGAGGGGTGCAGACGATTAAGAAAATGTGTAGTCCTTGTAGACAGCTATATTTGCATTTTGTTTTATATGTGCTTCTTATAATTGTTTAATATTTTGTTTTTACCTTTTCTTTTTAAGAATTTTAAAGCTTTTATTAGTGAAAATTCCGTACTACAGTTAAAATTAACTAATAGAACTTTAAGATAGAACTGCATTTTTATCTTGAAACTGTTTTCAACGCTTTAAAATACTCAAAATATTACATCAGGCAAGATATTACGAAGATGCAATTTGAAAAAAATCACAAACAATTAGGAAAGGTACAAAATGTACTACACCTTCACGATAATAAATTTGTAAACTTTCAAGTATTAGTTTCTTTAAAGAGAATCATTTCATTTAATTATATTTAAAAATTTAATAAGCTTTAAAAGATTTTAAACTGCTGTTTAGTATTTTATGAAGGAATTCACTATTTTGTGCTCGTAAAAAATAAAAACTGTTCTACATGCTAATATTTTACTTTTTAGAAAGAAAAACTTAAAATTTAGGCAAAACGGGAATATTATTAAACCAAAAGTTTCGGGAAAAATTACATTTTATAGATTTTTTTGCGAAATTTTCTTTATACCGTTAATTTTAAGTCTTTTTACTCAATTCTGCATAATATTTGCTGTTTTAGGGGAATTTAAAGAAACTTATTCCACTACTGAAGCAGCAAGTTAGTGTTAGATGTAAAATGTTAAGGTAAGTTAAGTGATTAGTAAATTACGGATTATTTTTCTACTTCAGCAGCAAAAATAAGTGACATTAAACTTCCCTGAAAATTTTCCAACCAAAAATATTTGAATTTTATTTTTCTTTAAATATATAAACGTTACAGCCTTTAAGTACTTTAACAAAAAATATTCATTCATAAAAAAAAATCAGTTTAGTAAGTTGTGAAAATTTTTCCCCTCTTCTAACTCGTAAATGGCTACAACTTTTTTAAATTATCCAGATAATACATCCAGACTTTTTAACTATTAATGTAAAAACAAGCAGTTACTTCGATAACAATTTTAATTTAAATTTTATAATCGGTCTTAACTACACTAAGTCTATATAAACCTTTGCATGACATGAGAGTTCGTATATAAATTATTTTAACTGCAAGTTAAAGCATGTAGAACAGTAAAAATATGCTCAAATATACAATTTAGAAAACCTAAAATTTGAAGTCCTGTTTTCCTTTTAATGAGCACCTTTATAATATCTCCCTCTGCTTAGAGTGTAAAACATTCCTCTATTAAGTTAAGACTGAATTCCTTCCTTTGTTTTTCAAAAAATTACTTAGCTATAAATCTAGTTTTGTACATGAGAGGTAAATTTATATTACAGTATACAAATAATATTTTTTTTCAATGTATTTAGAAATTTAAATTAAATTTATTAAATTTGTATTTAGAATAGTATAGTACATTATGACTTGTTCACTGTCAAGTTTATGATTCCAAGTTATGAATCCGTGAAAAGTGCAGGGGTGGAGGATATTTAGAAATTTTATTTCTCACAATTTTGGTGTATAGAGTTTGTGTGGATCCGTCTAAATTCAGTTAAAGAGATTTATTACAAAACCATTAATGCATCAATAAAGAAGAAACGAGACATGTCTGCGAATTTGTTTAGAGATTTTATTTTTGAATGTTCTAGCATGAATACTAAAAGTTAATTTAAATAGTTTGTGAACTACTGTAAAACAAGGTTCATAAATTAAGCAATTAGATATAGCAATAACTGTTTAATTTAAAAAATTTTGTATTTAAGTCCCTTTTTCGAAGTTTGAATGTCAGGTTTTTGTTAAATTAAATTGTGCCAAAATTTACGCTCCAAATAAATACAAATTTAGAAAATTTAAGCTTAGATCATTCTAAAGCACTCTAGCATTGTAGTACCGAAACTATAATACGAATATTTCTACACACTTTTATTTACGATTTATTCACTTTAGAATTTGCTTTATACAATGTGAACTATTCTTTTTGGTATAGGAGTTCCTGATTGAAAACCCCCATTCTACTTCACGCTAATATGAGACAAATTAGCCAACTCGTAAAAGAATAAACTAAAGTTCGAATTTAAACTTTTTTTTATAACGGAATTTTTAAGCATTCTAAAAAATATAGTTGACAAGTTTTCTTGGTACAAGGTGAATGTCTAGTACAAATGTTTTAAATTACTGGTATCATGGCAGCGACAGTTTTTTTTAAAAAATGGAGTGATACAATAAAGTTAAACGACGAGAACAGTTTAGAGTTTAGGAAAACTGCGTGCCTGAGGAAGATAGAAATATGGCAGATAATTCTTTTGCATTTAACAGAAATGTACCTAAAACATTTTGCTAGAAATTTTGAAAGTTTGCGCAGAAGGCTTAAAAAGTAAATCTTCGTAAGAAAATTAAGACTAAAACTTTCTCGAATACCTTAAATTCCAGCAAAAGTTTTTTTTAAATATTAAAGCCAAAATCTAATTTTTTTAACCTAGTATTTTTATCAATCAAACTTTTACATAGTTAATTTACTTTCCAAAAACAAGAGAAATTATTATAGATAATATCGGTATCAGAAAATCTTACAGATAACAATGAAATTTGCAATGAAAAGCACCGAAGATACGAGACCAGTCAATAGAACATAAATAACTGTTGAAGACCTGAACGCTGCAATTGTGCCAGATAAATCGCCATGAAGTTCGTCGTAGAAGGAAAGCATGAAATCAGTAATTCCTATCGGCCATTCTGAAAAAAAAAATATTTGTTACTTCCTAAGAAAGGAAAAAATGCTAAATACTTAAAATTAGTGATCTCAACACAAAAAATTGTGGCTACGACTTTACACTTAGGTGTAGCGAAAAGCCATACATACTTCTATTGATCTAGATATGTCCGTACATCAATAATGCTCTTTTACACAACTTCCAGTAAAGTTTGTCATTTGTAGCTGTTTTACTAAAATTTATAATTTCCATAAGAGGACGCCATGTCAAGGAATAAAATTTTACTTATTACGATAAGATATAAAGCAATAGTCAATCATTTAGGATGTACGTATACAATATTTCTTAAAATTCGTTAAGGAAACACAACATTCAGAAGGCTTGAATCCAAAGCAAATAGAAATAGAATTATTTCTTTTACAGATTTATCTAAATTTTCTGAGAAAATTTAGATATAACTAGAAACAAACTTGTTTTTGTGGAATGTTTAACAAAGTGGAAATCTAACTTCTTTTAAACAAAAAATGTCGATTATTTGAGAATTTAAAGACTTACTACGGCAAGATTTGCGAAAATATTCCTGAATGGGATGAGTTTGGTATCATTTATTGATTTCAAATTATATCTTAAAATTTATATGAACTCGCGATTTGGTATTAACTAGAAATAACACAATTTTAAAAAAATTTTCATCATATTCGGATAGATATTACATGAGTGTTTACAGTAAAAGAATATAACTTGGATTTTGCTGAATTTATATAAAAAACTGATAAAAAGGGACCCTTAAGCCAATGTAACATAGGGGTAAAATTCATCTAACATAACTGCTTCTTTATGTGATACTTATAAAAATTGTGTAAGATTGCACATAAAACAAATCTTGAAAAAATCGAAACAGATGTGGAAATTCCAATTGAAAATTTCTTAAAATTTAATTCAACACTCCGTGTTATGTTAACAAATTTGCTGATTTTTTGCATCATTCAAATTTAATAATTAAAAATATTTAGAACAGGTTTGACAAGATTTCACACAGTATTACACAAGGTAAAAGGAGTTTTCTCGTTCAAAACACTTCCGTCTAAAACTAAATTACAAAATATCAATTAAGCAATATTATAAGTGAGATTTCCGTTTTAAGCTTTAAAATGGCTCTGGGTATAATTCGTTAGCCTATAAATATGATTCCAACTTCATATTGTATAGCTGGGGTGGCCAACCTGCAGCTCGCGAGCCACATGCGGCTCTGAAGGATTATTTGTGGCTCTCGATAAATGTACCGTAGTTCCCTTCTCATTTTTGAGCTATTATATTTTAATATTTTTCTGAATCCATTTGCATAGGTGAGTTTTCCATTTCCAATATAATTATGAACCCAAAAGCATCTGAAGAATTAGAATTAATAAAGATGCAAGATGATAGAGCTCTACAATTAAAATATAAAACGACCAGAATCGAAGTATCCAGAATTAAAAAAAGACTGCTTGTCTAATTATTTAAATATTCGTCAAGTGGAATAAAATGATTCACTTAAGTACATTGCAATGTACTAAGTGAATCATTTTATTCCACTTCAAAATTCGTGAAATCCAAACACCGAACAGTTAATTAACCAGCATCTCAAAGAATTACTGAGAAGTGCTGTCACCAATTATTCAAATTTTAAGGAATTATCAATAGTAAAATAAACGTGTTTATAATTTTTTAATTCAACACACATATTTTGTACTTTTATACATATGTTTTCAATAAATATAATTTCAGCAGAAAAAAAATTTTAATACCTTTTTTGCATACCTTTTAAATACGTATTTAATTGCAGCTCGTGAAAATTTTAAATTTTGAAAAATGGCTCTACTATCAAGGAGCTTGGTCACCTCTGTTGTATAGTGTAAAGTTAACTATGCTGACTCTTATGTGTACCTTATGGACTGTAATTATAAGTTATGTTGTTACTAAATTTTTAAAAAATATGGCGTCTACTTTACACTAAAATCTTGGTTCTCAGCCGTGGGGGTTTAAGGGTTAGCCTTCTAATGTGGTAAACCGGGCCCGAATCCATTAATGGCTGGTTGACAGTAATTTCGTTCCAAACTTGATCCAACCGCAGCGCTGATGCAAAATATCCTCAGTGGTAGATAGATCAGGTATTACAGTCACCTTGCCCTCAGGCTAACCGTGGAAGGTTCTTTTGGTCTTCCTCTCCATGTAACGCAAATGCGGGCTAGTTTCATCAAAAAGTCCTCTACGAAGGCAAATACCCCCCCCCTACTACTAAATGTGGGAGTCTTAAGCATATTCAATGGAAACTATTTAATTCAAAAAGAGTTATTATTTGTTTACCTTAACTAGATTCTTATCCTCAAGGTGTGAACATTTGTTATTCGTGTGAACATTTTGTAAATATTTAATATTTCAATATAATATTCCCTTATATAATAAATTTTATATATTTGTCAATTGTCAATATTTTGAGAATATCGCAGAACCAAATATGAACACATAAAATTTTATAAACATAACTTTAAAAGAACGTCTAACTGTGGAATCACCCTTTCGAAACTAATTTAGTTTTAATTTCCAAAAACCTTTCGGGCACGTAAATAATTATTTACTGACCAATTAGTAAACTAATCTTAAAATTGAATAAGTGAATAATTCAACGTTTGTGATTCAATAATCCCCCAAACTGTTTTAATAATTTTTTACTAACCATTTAATATACAAACATAGAAATCATTATTTTCGTATAAACTAATACACAAGTCAATATATCAATAGCAAATCTTAAAAGCCAAACTGAAAAAAAAAACTATAAACCTATTCTTAAAAAATTTTAAAATTCTAATAATTTAGACATATTGAAAAAGAAATAAACTTTGCTGCCAGTTCATAGAAAGTTGAACAATTAGTCAAATTATAGACTTCTCAACTTAGCAAAAAATTTTTAAAGTTTGGGTTGAGACTAAAATTTACCAGTATTTGCAAATTAAGAGAGAAGGCAGATTAATTGTTTGGAGTTTTAAATTTATGAATGTTTATAAGCTAGATAGAGGATTTTTAAAAATTTTCAAAAGGATTCCTTCAAATAATTTTAAATTTAGATCGAATAACTAAGTTCTAGATGCGACTATCAGTACCTTATTTTTGAGCCTCCTAAATTATCAAGATGAAACTTTATAAATTTAATGTATACGAGTTTCTTCACTCTATTTCGAGTAATAGAATCTATGTAATATCCGCAAACAATTAAATGTAACGATCTCAAATATTTATGGGCAAAAAATTTATAATTTTTATAAAAGTATTTTCTTTAAAAAGTTAAATAGCGTTAAAAAAATTTGTCATTTTAATTTTAAACATACTTAAAATTTAAAGGCAGCCGACTTGCATATTTTTTTTTACTTTTAGGAGTTTAAAAAAAAAGATAACCTTTATTTAAAAATGATCAGATCAGTTTTGCAAAATTTTAGGTTTTCGAAATAAATTTTAGGGCTTTGTGGAACACTAAAAATTGCGAATTACGCCCTAAAAATATTTTATAGAATTTATTATGAGTTAACAGTCACCAGAGTGCAGTTTTTACTTTACGCAATTGAAGCAAATTACTTTACTTTCCCCAAAGCAGAGAACTTCAAAATTAAAATACTCATTAAGATTCTACTGCATCAGAAAATTAGACAAGGAAATCAGGTTTAAAAACATAGCACTCTTAAAGTTAAATAAATTTGAAGTTAATATTCGGTATACCTTATGTTAGATCTGAAGAGGCTTAAAAAGTAGACTCACTACTTNTTTAGATAAATTATAATTTAAAAAGAATATAGCGCTTACAAACAGCTATAACTATTTAATCAAAAATTAGTTATCTATAAGGTTAACATAGAATGTAGATCAGTGGTTACCAACTGGCTGTCCGCCAAGCGTTTTTTTGTGGCTCGTGAACTAAAATATTAGTTGTCATTTTTGCGAACAATTTTCGTAAAAAATTTATATGGGTTTGAAGTACTTTTCTTTGCTAAAAAACCTAATTTCTTAGTTTCTGTGAAATTTAACATGCCAACGGTGCAAAAAAATTTTAATCAAAATCTACTTATTTTAATTTGTAATTAAATACTTTCGTTTTGTACAACTTGATAAAAATCTGACAGTAATATTTAATGCTCCTTCAAAACATGAAAGAGTCCTATATAAAATTTTGATAAAGTTGCGACAAGCCATTTGACTGATGTTTTTAATTACGGCCTTCGGCCTCATGGAAGTTGGAAACCCCTGATGTAGATGGATGTAGATGAAATTTTTTTCACGCTTGAAAACCCAACGTCAACCTCGATTTAAGGTTTTAATATGAAAGGTTGTTTTCCAAGGATTTGGATTAGGGTAATAAGCATAGATTATAGCATATATTCACAGATCTAGTTTTGAGGTTAGAAGGTTTACACGTAAACCCGCGTAACAAACCTTTTCACAGGTTTACATTAAAAGGTTTTTGCTGAGTGAAAGTAAACATTGATATTTGGGATTAATTTTGAATTACCCTGTATTTAACGTTTCCACTCTTTGAAAAATTTTAAGTGTTATAGTGACAGCCCTAATTCCTCAAACTGGAGAAAGAAGTTTATCATAAGAACATAAAAAGGTATCCAGGGTTAAAATATAAGTTATGTAGGAAAAACTCACCCTTTTCTTTAAAAGCACTTTAGATGCATTTCCAGCCAAATATTTTCATTGTCTCGTCACCAGATAAACCCGAACATCTAGCCGAATATTTCCACCATGATTATTGTAGTCACATCTCCAAATAAAGTGTCTTTCCATGCATTTAGGCAAATATTTCCACCATCATTATTATTGTAGTCGCATCTCCAGATATATTCTCCATAAAACCACATCCATGTAACCTGGATGAAAATCTGTAAGAGATTGCGATATTACTTTAAAAAAACTAAAATTAAAAATACTTAGAAACGTCTTAAAGAGAGATCAACATTTTCAAGTGGTCAAAAGTTTGAGTCTTCTAAATCTATGTAATTAGTATAAAAACACAAAAATCAGAATTTTTCGAACATTTGAAAAACTAAATAAAATTTACATTACCACCACAATTATTGCCAAAAAATTTTCAAATCGTTTCTTATTGTTGGCTTGCGTCGCACTAGAGCTGCACAATTTGCTATTGGCGACTGCCTGGGGAACATACCCGATTAGGATCCAAAGACATGCAATCTCCAAATTTTGGACGGCTCTACTTCGGTAGCCAGACGACCAGCGCGAAGTATTGCACCTCTCGGTGGAACAGTTGGACGAGGACTTTTTTGTTCTATTGGAAACAGTGTCTTGACGATCAGTTCACTGCGGGACTTGATAATTTTTAAAATATGTTTTGATACATTAATACGAAGCACGAAGTTATTAATCCTTTTGGAACTGAACGCTGCAATTACCTGAATTTAAAAACGAAACATTACATAAAATAGGCAAATAACCAGAGTTCAAAATAATGGCAAAACTGAGATTTAGAAAGTCGCAAGGGAGACAAAATATTTCTAGAAATGCGATTAATGAAGCTTAAATTGCCTTTAGTTTTTAATTATAAAAAAAGTAGCACGCTTTGGATAGAGTAGGATAATTTTTTTTATTGTGTATTTCCTTGTATTTTGGTCACAAATAGAAAATGCGCTAGACTTCATTGGCATAAAATTGTTTTCTCACAATCTTTCATTGTAATTAAAATTCCAGACCTACGAATAGCCTGGCAAACTTAATTATTGTACGAAAAGTAATACAGTTTAATAATTAAACTTAAAAATAGAAAAATAATTGAACATGAAAAAAAGCTTTAATTTAAAAATTTGAAATGAGTCTGAAATGCTTGGCAGAAAAAATTTTAAAACACTAAATGAAAAGTAGTAAACAATGACATTACCTACATTGTCAAACAAAATGAAACTACCAAGAGTGGTGGATAAATTTTAAAACATATTCCTAGCAAAAAAATGACTATTGCATTTAGAAGGTCCGTATGTGCTGTATACGAAACTAATGGTTGCTGGTTATTAATACTACAAAAACTTAGATTTAGGAAAACTATTTTCTAACTATACTGCGATCACAGCAACAAGAGAAAAATTGTTTTTAAAGTTAAATGAATTTTCCTTTCATAAAAAAAGCATTGAAGTAAATAAAATAAGACTAAAAATTTATATAAAATATTGATTCGGAGTAATAGATTTAAATATTAGGATATAAACAGTTTCTAAGAAAAAAATATTTTGCAAATAAATTATTTAACCTTACGTTTCAAAAAAATCAAAAGTTAGAAAATAAGAAATTAGCATCGATTTTCTCTTTAAAATTTTTGCAAAAACATTTTCGTATGGAATGATAAAATTTGAAGAAAAAAAATATAAAACTAACATAAAAATTCAGTAAATTGATAACGTATCTCAAACGCTTTCAAGGATTCTAAAAATTAAGTATTATAGCTACTTCATATTATTAAATCCTTAAATACGATGCACATTTCAACGCTAGCAATTAATATTAGGATTAAATATTTCAAGCACAACAAAGAGTTTAGGTGACTTTACGTTGGAAAACTAATAACAATAAAGTGCTACGTGTAACTATTTATTGACTACTTATTACAAAGTCTCTTTATATAATAAATGTTATACATTTTTCAATGGTCAATATATTTTGAAAATATCACAGAAACAAACATGAAAGCATAAAACTTATTAAATTTAAAAAGTATAGCTGCTGAATCACCCTTTCAAAACTAGCGTAGTTTTAATTTCCAAAAACATTTCTGACACGCTAAGAAACTATTTACTGACTAATTAATCAACAAATTATAGAAATTGAATAAGTGAATTACTCACTTAACGTTAATCACCCTAACTGAATTTAAATCATTTTATTTAACCATTTAATATACAAACAATAGAATTTATTATTTTGGTATAAACTAATACACAATTTATCAATAGCAAATTTTACAAGTCAAACCGAAAAAAAAGGGAACTTTAAATCTATTTAAATAATTTTAAAATTCTAATAATTTAAACATAATGTAAAAGAAACAAAATTTGCTGCCAGTTCTTAGAAAGTTAAATTTGTCAAATTAAAGACTTCTCAACTGAGCAAAAATATTTTGAAGTTTGGGTTGAGACTAAAATTTACCAGTGTTTGAAACTAAAGAAAAATGCCGATTAATTGTTTGGACTTTGGAATTTATTTTAATTGTATGGACTTAATGAATGTTTACAATCTAGATAAAGAGGATTTTGAAAATTGAAAATTTTGCTCAAGGATTTATTCAAATAATTATAAATTTAGTACGAATAATTAAGTTCTAGATTGACTATTAGCACTTATGCCTCCTAAATTATTAAAACGAAACTTCATATAAATCTAATTTATACGAGATTTTTCATACTATTTAGAGTAATAGAAGCTGCGTAATATCCAAAAATTAAATTTAATGAACTGAAATATTTATTCGCCAATAATTCAGAATTTTTATTAAAGTATTTTTAGGTAATAGACTAGTACTTATCAGTTTTAAAAAGTCAAATAACGTTAAGATAATTCGCTCATTTTAATTTTAATCTTTTGCTTAAAATTTAAAGGTTACTGATGTGCACAATTCTTTTATTCTTAGACTTTGGAAAAAACAAAATAACAGATTTTTGAAAAAATGTACGACAACTCAGTTTTGCAAAATTTTAGGTTTTTAAATAAATTTTAGGACGTGCATGCGTGTGTTCATAAGTGAAAATAGAGAGTCCCGTGCAGAAAGTATTCCGAGTGTTAGAATTTGCCATTTAGTTATCAGAGTGTAGAGAAGATTTCGCCAGCGTTACAATCAAGAATCTCCAAATGAAAACATGCGCAGATGGCATAAGATGCTCGAAGAAACGGGAAGTTTGTGCAAAGGGAAAGATAGCGGAAGGCCACCTACCTCAATGTTTGACAAGAAAGGACTACCGCCTAGATGGGGTCTAGTTGACTAAGGAAAGTTGCATAGAAAAATCTGATTCATTTATACAAAATGTTGAAATTCCTTCTAAATTCTGTGTAAATTTTAACTATACTTTTTCATTAAATAGTTATAGCCGTTTGTAATAGTTTATATTAATTTTGAACTACCCTGTATTTAACGTTTGGAACCTGAAGATTATTAAGTGTTATAGTAAAACCCCCGATTCCTCAAACTGAGAAAATTTTATCATAAAAACGTAAAAGTATC